GTTGAATTTTCTTTTATTATTATGTGTTGCCTTTGAAAATGAAACACAATTAGTCTATTTCTTTTTTTGAATTAGAATATTACATAGACCTTTGCATTTAACTTAATTGTGCTTAAATGTGTAGAATACCCATAGATTGAATAAACTTACCAACATTCACACCTGGATGGCTCTTGTTCACAAGATGCAAATTTGTCCATCTCAAATGGATAAGCAATCTAGTTATGTGCTTCTAATCCAATGAATTCTGAATTTCTGAGTTTCAGAATTGCTGAAGAATTGCGATGAATAGAATATGTCCCCCAGCTCAAGTCTTAGCAGCAAGTCATCACTTTCAGATTGGTTATTCGCAGTGTGACTCTATGTGTGATGCAGTGCCACAGTGTGGAACTAAGTGTTATAACTATACTGTATATCAGTGTCTTATTCAATTCACCTAATTCATATATTCCGAGTTTCAGTAGTCTTTTATGTGGCATTTGTTTATACAGTTGTGTGTACTTGTTTGTTAGTGAAACAAGGAAAAAAACTCCTAAACTCTAATCTATGTGTTTCAGCAGGAGCTGCCTGCGCCGCCTTCCCTACTGTTCAGGAAGCTGAGTAACCCCGACCTGTCTCCTGCTGCAGGAAAGACCAAACTGCAGCGGCAGCTCAGTCAGGATGACACCAGAGCCCGACGTAGCAGTATGGCTGGCATCCTCACCGGTGAGACACCACAAATTTGTATGCCCCCCTTCATTTGCTTTTTAAAAATTCAGAAGTTTGTGTAAATCCTGATGATCATGTTATGCAACATGATTTGAGAATGTTTTGAGAGCACCATGTGCTTCAATAGAAGCAAGAATATCTGACCTTCTGTGTAATTTTTTAATGTCACAAATTTGCTTTTATTTAATAAGTGATCTACATAGACTGCAGAAATTGGTTCACATTATATAAAAGCTGTCAGAGAGAATCTGTGGCTTGGCGTGGCTTGGCTTGGCTTACAGACACATATACAAACAAGAATTCTGTGTTTCCTCTGTGTGCCGCAGGAAAGCAGCTTCTGCCTCTGTCCAGCAGCATGCATGGTGGAGTGAGTCAGCTGGCCTGGCAGCAGCATGCAGGAGAACCCAATAACTTGGTCCGCATGAGGAGTCAATCCTTTGGCCAGTCTGCCCCCTCTCTCACTGCGGGACTGGTGAGTGCATGTGCATCTGTTTCCATCCAACACAAGCAGATGGGTCCAAAATTACCCAAAATGCTAGTGAAAATCTGACAAATGCAAGTAAAAGTGATATTTATAAGGAACTGCAACAATACTTGGTGTAAATCAGTTTGTAAGAATGATAGTTTGAGTGTATGATCAGTGTAAAAATTGCCATCATATGTTTGTCTAGCATACTTTGTTTTTTTACTCCAGATCTCCATGTGATGACAAATGTGGTACATGTGGTAAAAACTTGTACATTAGTACCCATGTGGCAAACAACAAAAACTTCTAAATGTCAACTAAAACAACATTTAGAAAAATGTTAACAAAAAAATTAATAAAATAATAACAAAACCTATTTGCCCAGGAAGCATTTCTCATTAACATTTAGTATAACTAAAATAAAAATGAATAAAAGCTATACAGACATTTAAAAACACAACAAAAAATACTAACATTTTAAATTAAAAGGAAAACAGAAAATATGAAAATGAAAACTAATTCAAACTATTAATAAAAACTACAAAAGCATTTCAATTATACTAAAATAACACTTGTGGCAAATGGTTAAAATTTAAGGACTGAATTTTAAATAACTGCCACTGATGCGACTGATTATGCATGAATAGGATATAGTAGCTCACAGATGTAAATTTACTCCTTATCAAGCACCTGTATCAAGATCTGTGTTGATCTTTTTTACTTTCATTTTGATCTGAGTAAATGCAAAGGCAGATTAGCATTAGGTGTGTCTGGTCTGTGTTTGAGTTTATGGAGGTTTAGAAGTGAAGAAAGTACAGCAATGTAACCTTTATCTGATGAGTTCATTTTGTTGTGCAATCTAAAGCCTAGTGCCATAGCTACATCTGCTGTCCATGTGTAGTACTACAGCATTGAAACTGGCGAAAAAATAGTAAAAGGGAAGCCCAGTGATTAAGTTTGGTTATAATGTAATATAAATGAATATATATATATATATATATATAGGGCTCCAGACGAACTATTTTTACTAGGAGCACTGTAGCCCCTGACTGAAAATTTTTAGGAGCACGAGCAGAAAATTTAGGGGCACACCTTAAATCAGCCTGCAATGCAATTATTTTCACATATTTTCCCCATTTTAACGGTATTACTGACAAATACTTTGATAATAAATAGAGTTTACTCATAGAAATTACAATGAGCAGTATTCTTTTAATTTCAGAGGGATATGAAAAAAAAATATATGATATGAAAAAATTACTATTGTTTTGCATTAATAAGTGCAGTTACTAATAATATTACGTTAATTTCTTGTTTATTTCATGTTTATACACATTTGATAGCAAAACTCTGTCAAAATCTGATTTCTTGATGATTTGATATTTTAGCCTAGTGACTAAAATATATATATATATATTTTTTTATTAATAACATTTATTATTTCATAATATGTGTGTGTGTGTGTGTGTGTGTAATAATTTTTGGTTAGATTTATTTGAAGTTTTCCCGATATTTAATTTTTTGGATATAGTCTTTTGTGGCATACTGGACCTTTTTAATAACTGTATAATAAGATTACTAGATAGAGATGGACTGTTAATGCTAATCAGGAAGAGACTTGTTCTGTAAACCGTAGTAAACGGGAGTAAAGCATTCGTGATTCCCTATACTGAGTTTGTTATTTTCAGATCCTTAAGTCCACTACTGTTTGATAAATGGCAAGTCATGGAGTGTTTGAGTGGATTTGCTCTACACTGTTCCTGTTTGCATGTTCAACATTAAGAAAAAGCCTTGTACATAATTCTCAATTGGGATGCTCATGGTTGTTTCTAACCATGAGGTGGCAGCATTGCCCACATCCTGTACAGTACACACTTAGGCACTGACTGCACACTGATGTAGAACAAAACAGTCCAAATCTTGAATGGGTAAAGTGCTACAGTACACATGGGCTGTGATTATTTCAGCCTTTATGTTTATGGATGAATAATGTACTCAGCACTGCAGTGTAGCACATTGTTCTAATAATGTAGTAATTAATATGCCAGTGCTTCAGCAGACCCTATTTAAAAGGCCTTGTCTGTTTAAAATAGGTGTGTGTGTGTGTGTGTTTTGTGCAAGCAAATTTTATTTTATTTTTTGGTGTGTGATTTTTGTGACGTGAACCATAACTGATTATGCAAAGTGATTCATCTGATTGTTTTCATAAGATTTATTGTTCTGGCAAGAAGGGGCAGATAAGGTGCTGGAAATGACATTACTCATTGAGCTAAGGGATTTGAACAAACACCATAAGTATTTAACTTGTTACCTATGTAAGCAGACCCTATTTAAAAGGCCTTGTCTGTTTAAAAGAGAAGCCATGAACACACTAATTGCTGCTTATTAGGCGTTATATGCCAGCAAACAGTAGCATACTGATAATAAGATGTAATAGTCCACAGTTATTTAAATTTGCAACTTGCAAGGCTGTCTGCCAGTATGCAGGGTGAAATAACGTTTGTTTTTCCCATTAAAATGGCTGCATCAACATATCTCAACTGTAATTTAAAGGCTGGAAATTGAATGAATAATAATTTTCTCGTGGTGAATAATTATATAAATGATCTGTTGGACACTCCAGTTAATTACATACTTTACAGATGAAAGGTACTTGATTTCATTTGATTAATTTCTCTTTTTATTTGGAACTTGATAGATGCCAACTAAAAGATTTCATTACCCAAAACAAATGAAAAAGTCTAACAGCAAAACAATTTCACATTACGTTACTCGTCGTTACTTGTTTGGGACATGTCTTGCTCTGCATTTTTACATAATTCTGCCCACTGATATCAAAAATATCTAACATGATATAAATCTTTGCTGGTTGACACAATTCTTGGTCATGTCACTGAGCCTTGCAAGTGTGATGTTACTCTTTCTTCTTATTCATAGGCATAATAATATGGCAAAGGAAAAGACCCAGTGTTGGTTCATCCTGTGGGGATGGTGTTCATAATCCTCAGGTCCGGTCTGTGAGGGCCAGGGGAGCCGCTTCTCTGCTGGTTTATTGTATGAGTATGGGAGAGACATAGAAGAGGGATGGAGTGACTTAATGGAAACCATGCAGGACAGGCAGATGGTGTTTACCTTCCAACTAAGGCATGGAGCTGTGTGTGTGTGTGTGTTTTTTTTGGTGTGTGATTTTTGTGACGTGAACCATAACTGATTATGCAAAGTGATTCATCTGATTGTTTTCATAAGATTTATTGTTCTGGCAAGAAGGGGCAGATAAGGGGCTGGAAATGACATTACTCATTGAGCTAAGGGATTTGAACAAACACCATAAGTATTTAACTTGTTACCTATGTAAGTGATCAGACATGCATCTGGGACACGATAAAACGATTCAAAAATTTGATTTACATTGGAAGGAGGGCCTGTGCCATTTGTAGGGACCAGAGAGACACTCGAGAATCTTTTTTTTTTAACAACTACATAGCAACATGTATAATTATATACAATGTATAATTGTGTAAGTTCTTATATTTTATATTTTTTCTTATATTTTTGAGGGATATGATAGCAGGAAATTGTCTTTATGGATATACACAGGTCACTCTTTCCTGTTCAGATCTTTTAATGGCACACCTTAGAGAAGAAAAAGGTTATTTTGTTTTCATCCTTTGGTGTTCAGTCTAAATTGAGATGGCAGTGAGGCTGGAGCAAGTCAACAGTGGCATTAACATACCATGATATTTGCATAATATTTGCATATAGGCATGCAGGGAGAAAAGGCAAGGTTGTTCTAGTACTGCAGGCGATATTGTTATTCATTCCGGTTTCTTTTTTGTGTGTTATTGATGTTCATGTCTGATGTTCAAATATCATATTCAAATTTAACAGCTGGTCTGCCATGGAAATCTAAAACTGTATTTTATCAGTTAAAGAAGAACAGATTCCTAATTGAAGTGCCTTTTGTACAGAGGATACCAGACTTAAATTGTGCAGTGGTTGTATATTTTAAATGGTGATTTGTTTTCCCCTCCCAGGGAATCTGGTCTTTAGTGTGGTTAATGGAGCTTTTATGGGCAGACGGAGGCCCGCATAAGTAGCTGTGGCTCTCATGAGTACACAGTCAATCCTTTGTCACTTTTAATGGGAAAGTGAAATCTGTTTCCATCCTTTAAAAATTTAGCTTGCGCCTATACCTCTTTTTTGATCGATTAATTTATGAAAAATGTTACCCAGAGGCAATAGGCTTTAACAGAGAAGAGACACAAAGAAGACAAAGAAAATCACAAGACCAGCATGATCGCTCATCTCCCATCATCGAGGTCACAAACAGCCGAAGTGAGTGACTATGTACAGGATTAAATATTCAAAAGGCAATTATGAATAATTACTTGAAAGAGACGCTCCAACCAACCCAAGGTGACGACACTCGTGGCAGCAATAGAGGCTGCTGGGTTCTCTCTTTTTTTGTTATATACTGTTGGCTTTGTTTCTACAGTATTTACCCACTATGCTTGTTTTCTTTATCTGGGTATGACAGTTGTTGTTGTTGCTTTTTGCTATGTACATTCTGTTTCTATCTTCAGGCATTTAATCTGATGTTCCTTGCATTTGGCCCAAATTCTGATCACGAACTCTGATGCAAAATAATAAAACAAACGCCTTTAACGTTTTTTTTTTTTAAATTCTGAGCTAAATCTCGCCAATGTTATTTGCAATGTCTTTAGCATATCATGCAAACAGAAAGAACACATACGATTTTAATACAAGAGCTAGCATTGACAGTTCAACTGTCATTTAGATAAGCATCAAGCAATTTATGCTCGTCATTTTTTGCTTATTGAAAAACTTTCATTATATTAACCTCACTAAACATTATTCAGTCAATCTTTGCATAACAGTTGGTCTTACATAAAAAGTTTAACAGTTAACGAGAAAGTACTGCCTAATGAAATATTCACAACCATTATTTCCTCATTAAAACGTCTTATTCATCAAGAAATTAATAG